ACAACAATTTCCAGCAAAACTACACCAACTCTGTCACATCAGCAGCAGCTGAACCCGCCTGCCCAGGTACAGCTGACTGCTCTAAGACTGAATCTCTTTTTTTCTCAACCAACAACATTACATGTACCAGCTCCACTTTTCTGTAAATGTCAAATGAGTTCATATTTTGCTAACGCCAAATATCACAGGCCTTACATGAAACTGAAATCCAGGCTGCTGCAAATCAAGTCCATGATTTCCTACTAACCTCAGGGGGAGTTTATAAAGCCCATTAAATGCAGGATGTTTTCCCCAAGAAAACAAAAAAAAACCAACAAACCAAGATCCTCTCTGTCGAGGTTAGCAGTCTAATAAGACTCTAACAATGTAAGGTTTCAGCACAGCTGAAAGTTTTTCCTTCTATGACCAAATAGCTGTGGTTTTATTTTTTATTATTACATTCTGATTTTAAACCAGGATTTTTAACCACAGCTCTGATTTTAAGGAAGTTGCAGTATTTAAGTTTAAAATTATTTAAAATTCTGTCACTGTACCCTACTTTGAAGTTTCAGTTTTCTGTATTATAAATATAAATACATATATATGTATAGATATAGATATTAATATATACATATTTGCAAACAGACATTTACGTACTTTATTCAACCAGACACATATTTCTAGCAACATAAAACTCTGCTTATACTCTTTAAAATAAGAATATTCACAGGGGAGATTGCTCTAGTACAGAAAAGGCAGTAAAATTATATAGTTACAGATGGAAAAATGTATCTCCAGGTATGAATGAACTTATTTAGAGGACTTTTGCTCTGGCACAGAAACCCCTACCTTTCTCACTCCCCTACTATTGAATTCAAACCAGAACAAAGTGTTAACATTCAAACTACCCTAAAAAAGCCACCACTCTTCTAAAAGGCTCAGCCAGCAGGGGCTATAGCTATTTTATTATTTTATCTTCACAGAACTCCCCCATCCTCATCAGACAAAGGGGCATTTTCCATAATAGATACACCAGGTTTATTTCACTCTTCTCTTTTTTTTTTTTTTTTTCCTCCCTACAAGTAAATTGGGCGTTGCACCTAAACAGGAAGATTTTTCTGTCTGGTTAAAACCTAAGGAAGGAGTTTTTCATTTGAATTTGTCCCCAGGCTTTATCCCACTGCTGCTCACTGCAAGCAACCTCACACAGAATATTTCAAAAGTCTCAACAGGCTGAAAAGCTGGTTTGGTTTAAAAAATAAACAAACAAACACCCGAAAAACCCCTCAAACATACTCTTATACATCTAAGGAGCAAGAAGCACTTCCCTCTTTAAGTCACCATTCTTGCCAAAAAATTTGAAAGTATGAAAACTTTCAAAAGAATAATAATCAACATGAAGCCCAGAGAAGCATATTATAGTTGTTATAATATTAATAATATAATATTACAGTTATTTATTATTTTGCAGCTGCCCTTGAAAGCAGGGAGCTAAGATGATGCTGTTAATTAAAACTAAACACTAACTGGACAAAGCATTCAAATACAAGCACTTTGTAACAGTCAGAAAGCAACTGAGACCTGTGGGTGGGAGCATCGCTTCAAGATGACAAAATAATATTTAATATTACATCCCTTTATGCAAAACAATTGTGCAGCAAAAATTGCCTTTAGAATACCTGTTCAAACATAAATTAGTAAAGAAATAAAATTAAATAAAATTAAATGGTTGGACAAACTGATACAAAAACTACACAGACAAAACTGCTGTTGCTGCCAGCCCAAGCAAAGGGAGCTGTAATAAATATTCTGTTGTTAACTGACACTATGCTTAAACAAATTGACTAAGGAGTATAAAAAATACGTATAAAGATAAGAGAACTCTATCCCAGCTGATTGAGCTACATGAAAGGCACAAAATAAAGGTGAGAGAAGAAGCCCAGGGCACGTGAAGTGGCAAAGCAGTGCCAGTAGTGCCTTACTCACCAGATTTATGCTGGTGATGCTCCCTGGACTCTTCTGCTCTCTGTAAAATCAGAGTTAGGCCCAAAGGATACAGGACCTTTTGTAAGTGGCTCAGTGTAGGCCAAGAAACCAGTTCTCACCTTTGCACAGCATATCCATAAAGAAATTACTCCTAAAACAAATATTTCCTTTAGCAAAGAACACTGTCCTTAAGCTGCACCCAGCTCCTGATTTATGTCCTGCAGCAATAGATTGCCCTGCTGTTCACATACATGGCACAAAACTCAGCCCCCATGTTGTTCCACTCATTTCTCTTCATCCCATGATTTTTAAAATAAATTTTTCACTAGAGAATAAAGCCTCTTCAAACTCCCTCTTAGGGAAAAAAAAGAAAAGAAACCAACAAGCCACACACATACATTACTCTAAAAGACAGCAACAAAGAAAAGCAGACTGTAAAACCAAATCAAATCAATCCTGGCAGCTGCAGCAATGTAGCACTAACAGAGCCAGAACAGGGTAAAAAGATCATGGTTTCTTTGTTAATACTGCTTTTACCAATTTTCTCTTAAGACTTCTCACTTGATGACAACCTCTTTCAGATGAACACACGAAACTTCCATTACAATACATTAAAAGTCAAATAAAGACTCCATCTGAAGCTACCACAAAATCCAGTCTCCCCTCCCCAGCAACAATTCTGCTGTTCTCACATCACACAAACCCTCAGCACACTCAGATCTTCACCTCCTTGCTGTCCTCCACCTGGTAGGATCCCCTCTTTTGTTTCTCAACAAGTTTTGTAAAACCTGTCATTTGCTATCCAGCCCTGTACCTGAACTCAGCCCCTGCACTGGAACACATCTGTCTGCTTCCACTGTGAATCTGAGACTAATTCATTGCCAGTTTTTCAAAATTTTCATCTCCCTTTCATGTGCCACACCGTGCGCTGAACCCAAATTTCTGATTTTAAGGAAGCTGCAGTATTTAAAGTTAAAAATTATTTAAAATTTTCTCTCTGTACCATACTTTGAAGTTTCAGTGTTTATTTCAACTGCAGAGTTTTTCCAAACAAGTATCTTTCACGACATCCATCAAGTTAGTATCATTTTACACTATCACTTAGGAGTGCCTGTATGTTTGTGAGGTTTTTAAACAAAGCATGAGCAATTTTTACAGTGCTGAACACCACACTTAGTCCTAAATTCAGCTCCCACTCAAGTCAATCTCAACAGGAAGGGGTTCTTTAAAACTGCTTTCTGATTTTCTTTTGTTTGCTTTGAATTCGTTCTCTAAATAAGATTTGTACTTAATGTCAGTCAGAAGCACAGCCTGGAGTGCAAAACACGCAACAGAAATTTGCTGGCCAAAGGTCTGAAAAGTGAACTGAGACGAGGAAATGTTTCTAAAAATCAAAGTTAATGGGAAGTTTTCCACCTTGAAAAGAGAATGCACGACAGGCACTCGTCAGCATCCTTCCTGAAGTTGCCTTTAGGAACATTGTAACCACATGAAATCCTATTAGAAGGTGCTGAACTCCTACATTGTGACTCTTCCGGCAGGCTTCTACATAACAAAAATGCAATGAAGTACCATACAACTTTCCCCCCTTATTATGCAAAATCCTTATCAAATTCAATAGTGCGACATGGTTCAAAATCCTGCCTAACAATGGCTCGCAGGATGTCCAGGGATGTCGGCTTTGTTTTAGTTTCACGTGCTTTTCAGTCTATTAATGCTAAGAGAAAAAGAACCTTCACTAAATAACCGATAAAGATCAAACCCCACTAAACAATGGGAAAGAAATTCAGGAGTTGGAACTGGCGCTTTGCTGAGCAAGCAACCCTTTGTGCCTAGGTGCCAACCCTGGGTGCCACAACAGCCAGGAACAACGAGGTGAGGGAAGGAGGAACCTCCACTCCAGCTCCCCACTTGCCGTGCTGCTCCCTTGGATGGGGCCAGGGCTGGAGTTTGCAGGGAGGTGTCTGGAGGGTTTGCAGGGATGTGTTTGGAGGGTTTGCAGGGAGGTGTTTGGGGGTTTGCAGGGATGTTTGGAGGGTTTGCAGCTCGGGCCAGGGCTGGAGCTTGCAGGGAGGTGTCTGGAGGGTTTGCAGCTCTCCGGAGGAGCCGCGGGGCAGCCCCGGCTCCTTTGTGCGGCAGGTTGCGGGTGGAATGTGGAATGCGGCACACGTTCCGCTCGCAACCGGGAGGACAAAGGATTCGCTGATCGGGGGGGACAATTAGTCCCAATTAGGCCTATTTCGCAGCTGAGTGTAAGCTGCTGGGGGAAGGGAGCTTAAATCTTACAGCAATGGGTCCCTCAGGCGAGTGAAAGCAAGATCAGTGAAGTGACAAGCTTGAGAGCACGGGAGTGCCACCGAGGTGGTGGCACCTCTCATCCAGGAGAGGATGGAGCCCGCTCCTCAGCCCTCGCACACACCGGCTCCAAACCCCGCTGTTAAAAACAGCTCAGAAACTATTGTAAAATAGTTGATAATTGTTAAGCATGAACTGTTAGTTTAGTTGTTATATTGTAAAAGGGGTTAAAAGGGCAATTGTAAGAAATGCGGTACTCAGCGTGCCGTATTACACACAAGGAAAGGGCAGCACCCCCCAAGCGAAACGAGCCGGCCTGGACAGAACTGTAACGGGCCCATCAAGCGCCTTAAACCTTCCTGCAAATGAAGGAATCAGAAAGAAACCAATCCAAAGGGACAAAAAACAGGATTAAAAGGGGCATCTGAGCCAGGGAAGCTGTGCCGCTCCACCTGGGACATCGCTGCTGACGAAGATCCAGTGCCAACACCGCAGCATCCTCGATGGGAATGCTCCTGCTCGGCCCGCGGGCCCCCTTGCTTTAGGCCTTTCTTTTTTTTTTATTACAAAAAATGCTGAAATCACTTTAGTACCAGGAGTCTGGATCCATTTGTAACACTAACCATTCTGCCTCTCAGCTCCCGTGGCTAACTAAGGCAATTTCCCAGTTTTTCCGGCTGTCCTGGAGCAGCAGTCCCGGTGTCAGGCACACAGCAGGCACGCAGGCAGGGAATACTCACATGTGCACGTGGGGAGGCTGGAAGCGGCTCTGGTTGATGTTGTAGTGCGTGAACGCCTGCGTCGGGTTGGAGCTGTACTCATCCACCGTTATGGTAACTTTGCCTTGTGAAGGAATTCCATGAGCCATCCTTCCTCCTTATGGACATGAGCAGCTCACAGCTTCCCAAGGCCAGGGGCAGGGCAGGGCATCGTGCTCCGGGCGGATCCGGACTCCCAGCAGCTCCGCATCAACGCCGTGACCTCTGCCAGGAGAGACAGACAGCACACGCTGCTGTAAGCCACGAGATGTAAACACACACCGACCTACTGCTCCATGCTCTCCTGACTTCTGTTCAGATCGGAGACCTGTTCAGATCTGAGATCTTTTTCTATATTCCTGATGTACCCATCACCCCTCTCCACGCATTACTATTCACTTTGGGTTTTTTTTTAATTACCTCATCATCCAACTCCATCATCATTAGACACATCCAAAGAAGGAATGCTTCAAGTAAGGCTTTATCTTCAGGGGGTGGGGGAATAAAATATCTGTGTTGAAAGCTCCAGTTAAATACTCCCCATTTCGTATCCTTGATTTTAAATAACATCTCGTGTTCATTGCAACCATGAAAACTCACAAGTGGACCCACTTCCCGAAGGACAAAAGACTTTCCACAAATACGCACACTTATTTTCAAGCCGCTGCTGTGGCTTTAGAACACTAACAACTGAGAAACTTACAAGAAACTGATGTAAAGAACATGTTACAACAAAAGGCACACCCAAACACCTTTGAATGGAGGTGTTTATGTGCCCAGAGTATCGAGGCAATGTTAACAAAATATCCATATTATAGCTCACTAGCATTGAAAGTGGTTTGGATTCACATTTATCTGACTTAAGCGTGATTTTATGCAAAAATATTTCTGCATAAAAATGAAAGAAATAGGCTCTTCCCTCTCTCTGCATCCCTGCCTTTGGCTTCTCCAGAGTGCTCTTACACACACTTTGAGTCAGGCCTGGATGTGTACTGTGATATCAGCACAGCCCAACAGCCAGAACCTCCCGAACAAGCTCCGCTGAGCTTCCTGGGCAAAATCCAGCTTGGATTTCTCCGGTCAATAACCTGAGGATATCTCAGTGCCTTCCTTTCAGAGGGGCTCTGTGGAAATGGATCAGCCCATGGTCGAAGGATACTTTCAAGATGAGCAGCTCCGTAAAGGCCCCGTTTATGGGGCAGGTCCTCAGCTGGGACACGCTGTGCTAGCTGCCTGGACTCGGTGAAATCAGCACTCTCAGAACCCACTGAAATTCTGCCCTCCAGCTGCCTAGAGTGGACTTTCCCTACCTGCAGTGCATTTCACAAAAGTAAATCCTTGCTTCCTGGGAAGACAAAGAGATGGGAAAGAGAAGAGAATGACTTGAGCCCCGAGCATCAAACCAAGCAATATTTTTCCAGTGCAATTTCCCTGGACTTCTCTAGCTCCCAGATAGAAATGTGCTTGCCATGTGTAACGCTGAGCATTTGAAATCTTTGATTTGTATTCAAAATATATTTTTAATACAAAGACTAATTTCCAGTTTGGCATGAGGCACGATGAAAACGCTCTGCAAATGGCAGATGGCCTGCTATAGGCCATTTATTTTACTATTTACCACCTCAGGCCTATGTAGGCTTCCATATGTTGGTTGGGTTGAGACATTCTGCAACCTTCGTCCTGGTAGCTGGATTCTATCCTTCATCTTCTTTAGCGTTGGAAGGGAAAAAAGCAAAAGGAAAAAAATAAAAGGGGAAAAAAATTAAATGAAAAGGAAAAGCAGCAGCTTAAAAACTGTCACTAGAGATGGCAGAGCACTGTAACTGTGGTTACAGCCTGGTCCTCCCCTGTGAGACCTAGAGGACCTGTCTCATGAGAACAAGGTTTCAGCAGCAGAAATCAGCAAGGGCGAGCTTTGCTGGAACACATCTTTGCTGTGCTAGATGCCATGGAAGATGCTGCAAGAGCTGCTCACACAACATAGTGGTTACCACGCCAAGTTTGCAGATGTTTCCTGAATTTCCTTCACAATTGTATTTCAGCGTTATTTTGCATAACAGTAAAACACAACACCTGCTTCAAACTGCAGTCCTGCTCCAAGCGCTGCAGTTCTTTTGAGATAGAAACTATGAAGAGTGCACAACAGCAGAGCAGCATAATTGCCCTGTACTGAGAAGTAAATACAAATGAAAACATCTTCCTGCCAGAGAAATGACTGTCATTAACACGACAGGCCATCAGAGCTCCCAGAAAAAAAAAAAAAAATTAAAATAAAGAGTTTTTCTTTTACACTGCAAGAACTTGGGAGCCTTCATATATTAAGAAGTACTGTGAAAACTACATGTGTAATGTTATTTTTTTCCCACAATTAAAAGCAACAATATAAAACAATGCATTAAACCAACAACAAAAATATGCTTGGGCTTTCAAAAAAGCTAAATGACACTGTTTTCAGCAACCCAACATAAGAAAGGTCAGAACATTAAATTTCATATTGTAGTTCACTCATGGAAGAAAAATCTAATTTGTTCATGAGAATGAATTATACATAAAGATAATAGGCATTTTTTACAATGTTTGTAACAGTCCACGTTACAGAAAGAAATTGCAACTAACTGGCGTAAAACAAATGACAAAAGGACACTTAAAAAGCTGTATTAAATACTTTTAAGTTGACTCTCAGTCAGATTATAAGTGTATAAGCTGCAATTGCTTCCCACTGTTCTAATCTTTAATCTTTAAAATAAATCTGTACTTAAATTGAGACAAAGCTGAACAAAGCATCCTTTTCAAATTAAATTCAACAACAAATGCCAGACTGGAGGTAAAAAAAAAAGGTATAGTTTGAAGCTGGCTTCTGTGTCAATTCTCTTAATTTCCATTTAATACTCTATAGAGTACTACAGCTCAACTATCAGAAGTATCTAATTATTACCTTCTTTACTCTGAACGTCTCTGAAGAAAATAGAAGAAAGAAGCTGAACACTTCAAAACTTTAAAACAAACGGACTGGAGGTCCAAAATTTTAAAAAAAGAAAAGAAAAAAAAAAAGAAAAAAAAAAAAAAGAAAGAAATTAAAAGAGACTTCTTCCAATCGCTACCATTCTTCTTCCTCCAACTATGAGCACTACTTGAAGGTTACACACGGGAGATGAGTACAAAAAAAAAAAAAAAAAAAAAAGTTGGATTATCTTCCCATGTATCAAGTAAAACAACGCGTAGTATCTTCCACGCCTTTCGAGGCAGTTTTGAGTAAGAATGCCTGTATTAAAAACCCAAATGATGCTTTTCCAGCATGTTGCCTTTTCCCAGATCCAGGCTGTTACCCTTTCGCAGCGTCTATCTGTACCGGCAGCAAGACAGGAGATGTGCCATTGTACACCCTGCCCAGCGTTACAGGTATAAACCGGCGCTTTTTCGGAACAGGGCTGGCCCAAACGCGGGTGCAGCTAATTGTGAACCTGTACACTGCCGGCCTGTCAAAAAACTGCCACGAAATCTGCACAGGTAAGTCAGTTTCAGTGTAGCGTTACATCGCACAGTGACACAGAGAGCTCTGCCTATGCACGCGAAAAACCCATTTCCCCAAATAAAATATTTACGCCTTCCTCATCTGAATTTCAAAAATTCGCCTCTAGCTGGGCTCGGGCTCTAGCAGAGAACGCTGAAAGGCAGGAGCCGGGAAGGGTTAACCCCGTGTCAACACCTTCTGGTGATCCATACGCTATCCCGGCGCTGTTCCGCCGACACGGCAGCTGCACCCGCCCGCCCGGGGCCGCGCCTGGCCCCCGGAGCCCCCGGCACCCACGGTGCGCTCCCGGCCCCGGGGGAGCCGCCAGCGCTCCCCGAGATGCTGCGCTGCAGTTTGCCGACAACTCCGCGCTCCACTACCCACCGAGTCCGGCCGAGGCACCGGGGGCCGGACCCCGACTCTCGCCCGCCCCGTTCCCCCGCCGCCGACCCCCGGTACCTGGGCTGCCGGCCGCTCCCCACCTCCGCCCGCCGCCGGCTGCCGGGCCGCCCCGGCCGCGGCCCCGCGGGGCGCCGGGCTCGCCCCCCGGTGATTGATGGCTCCGGGTGGCCAATGGCTCCGGCGCGGCCCCGTCCCGGCGTGTGCCGCAGCCCCCGCCCCGCGCCCCCTGCCCCGCGCTGCCCCCGCCCCGCGGCACCGGGGGCATCTCTGCCCCGTCTGCGCCGTACGTGCCGCGCCGCACAAAGTTCACATGGCCCCCGTGCCACGGACCGAAGGGGCTGCCTGCGGGGGGAGGATGCTCGGCTCGGGGGAGGGATGCGATGAACTCCTCAGCAGCCGCGGGCGAGCGCGGCGGGGCCGGGCAGGGGTGGTGGGGGGCGATGCCCGCCGCTTTTTATTGCGGCGGTGCCGACCCCGCACCGCGCCCCCAACCCCTGCAAAGCCTCCAAGTGTCTGAGGCCTCCGGGATCAGGGTTTCAGAGCGGCTTCTCTGCCGGCGAAAGGGCGAGGGGCAACTCCGCCGGGGAACGCCGAGCCAACCCGCCTTTCCCTCCTTACTTTTGCGGCGTGCCCCCCCCCCTCGCCCCCATCCCCGGCTCCCTCATCCCCGCGCCCGCCGGGCTGCTCGGCGCTGCGCCCGCCGGCTGCCGCCCGCCCGCTGGCCCCAGCCAGCACAAAGCTCCCCGGCCTACCCTCCCGGCCCCGCCGCCGCCACCCCCGGCCCCGGGCCGCCGGCGCCCCGCCGCCCCCGCGCCCGGCCGGACAGCGGCGGAGGGCAGCGGGGGCACGGCCTGGGCAGCGGAGCAGGGCAGGGCAGCCTCGCTCAGCGCCGCCGACATCGCCGCCTGGGCTGCGGGGAAGCGCCGCTGCCGCCGCACCGACCCGACCCGACCCGACCCGGCGGGCTCGGGCGGTCACGGCGGGGGCGCGGGGGCCGCGTTCATCCTCAGCATTGTTTGCGGGAGGCTGGACCGGCGCCGCCGCCGGAGCTCCCCCCCCCCCCCCCCCCCCCCCCGCCCCCGCCACGCCCCCCCTCACCCCCCGCGGCCGGGGCAGAGCCTGCGCCCGACCCCGCGGCGGCGCCCGGCGGCGGCCCTGGCTCCGGCTCCGGGTCCGGCCGCGCTCCGGCTGCGGGAGCGGCAGCGGGGCGGCGGCGAGGGCGGGCGCGGTGCAGTGATCGGGGCTGCCACTGGGGTCAGGGAGCAGGCACCAGGAAACACGGCGGCCACGGCGCTGCTCGCACACACACGCACACACACAGAGACACGCACGGCTCCTCCCGCTGCCTCGCACTTCACCCCCCCGGGCAGGGAGGGAGGGAGCGAGCGAGCGCTGCTGCATTTCCCCAGTGCCGCACAGGCTCCCCACGCTGGAGCACGGCTCTCGCTGCCGGGGTCACAGAGCCGGAGCCCCCCGGGACCCCCTCCCCGCCAAGGGGCAGCGCCCCGCTCGCTCGCCCACAGACACGGCCGGCCCCGCATCGCCGAGCGGCTCGTCCGCTGCCCACCGAGATGACAAAATAAATAAGTAATAACCGCAACAATTAAAAACCCCCAAATCCTCGGAACAGGTTTTCGCATCTTCCGCCGCACCTTTCGTCGCCGGCTGTTGATGCGGTGCCCTGCTCCTTTGTAGGTAGGCTCACCTCAGCCACCAGAAACACCAGGGTTCGCCTTTGAGGCCGAGCATTGTCTCAGGGCAACTGGGGCTTTCCTATGGAAAAATAAAATCAGGGATGTGGCTGTTGTATTTTTTTTTCCCCCTTTTTTCTTCCCCTTTCCACCCCCGCCAAAATCACAGCAATTGTATCAACAGCCACAACAGTAACAAAGTAAAGATTTGACGGGTTTGTTCTTTTACTTTCAAGACAGAAGATGGAAAGGGCAGACTTCCAAAAATATATTACAACGAGGAGAAAGAACGACAGAAAGAGAGACAGAGACAGAAAGAGAGCAAGCCCAAATATTTTGGAATAGTTGAGCATAGATATTATTGATAGAAAATAAATAGCAGGCCTCTAATAGGGAGTAAGTGACCTATATATTTTAAATAAGTAATTTTGACTCTAGCCAACCTTCAGATGTGCATGGCAAGCAGGCAGGTTTTTCTTTGTTGCTGAAAGCCATGAGAAGGGTCTTCTGTATTGCCAGGCAGAAATCCACTGGGATGCATTGTCCTGTTTAGAAACAAGGCAAACTAAGAAAAATCAACCTGAAAAAGACTAAATGGCATAAGACTTTTTCCCCAAATTTACCCTTTCACTCTGTTATTTTTTTACAGTTGTCATTATAACTTTTGAAAGAAGTGAGCACCGTGAACCACCACGGTTTCAGACAAACCGGCCCACAGATGAGTTGTCCTGACCAAATCAAAGCAACACTTCAGGGAAACTTTTCCTGGAACAGAGTCTGAGGCCGTAGCTGCACACGTATTTTTAGCTGACTTACTGCGACCCAGCTGTAAAGCCAGCAATCCAGCATCCCACCTGTGTCCCTGTTCTCTGGTGAGCAGGGAAACTGATGCACTCAGCATGATGCACTCAGCACCAGGGAAAACCTTCTGCCCTGCTGTGGGTCAGCCTCCTCGCCCAGTCCACTCACAAATCCTCCTGCTGGGACCAGACAGGGAGAGAGGTGAGCAGCTGAGGGCAGAAAGAGAACAGGAGAGCTTTCCTGGTCCCAGGAACACAGAGGGAGAGGTGACAGGGGCAGGTTTGACCCTGAGCCTCCTGTATCCCTTCTCCACGCTCACAGCAGAAGGACTTCTCCTGTTTTGTCTGTACACATCTGGAGCCCCTTGCACTACAAAAAGGAGCTCCTAGCACACAGAAACAGGACAGAAGCCTGGGTAAGGGATTGGGAAGCTCACAGACCTTCTCTCTGGTAGCTGGTGGGAGATCAGACATGTCCCTGGCACTGAGGTGAGCATTTACCTGCCTCACTAGTCCTTACACATAGCAAGCCCTGTGGCCCCCAAGTTCCTGGTATTTGGGTTTTGCTTGTATGAATCCAGAGTGGGACCTGCTTCTAAGGTCACACCTTTTTCACAATAATGCTGCTCAGCAACAACAGCAAGCTGTAACACAGTCATCAGGAGCACTGTTGTTCATACATGACTTGACAAACTCTGAAACATTTTCTGCTAAGGGCACACAACAGAACTTCTCCCTTTTACAAACTGCCTGTTTTCAGTATGCTTTCCAAAGAGGTACTCACCTTAGAAACATGCTGGCCCCAGAGCTGCTAAAAGAAGGAAAAAATATTTTACTTAAACTGATTGAAGGGTTTTCTGAGGGAAGGAGTTGGATCCTGCTGCCTTTCTTCACTAATTCACAAGAGCAGCATCGAAATATAAAAATAAAAATATCTATATTACGGCTGGAACATGTATTTGTTAACACACACTTGACAGGAGGATTTCAGAGATAAATTCAGAAACCTAAATAGTAAATGAGATGTCTGTTTTGAGTGTCACAGGAGTGATTTTTCTAGCTGGGTGAAATTCAAAACAGTGAAGAAACAGCTTTTCTTTACCTTAATACCTCCTATTAGTGATAGTGAAACAACAAGTTTCTGTTGTACATGAAACTTTAGTCATGTTCAGAGCTGGCACTAGACTTTGTTTTTTCACGTGTACAAATCCAAAGTGATTACCATCAAATGCACAGGTTCAGGAGATGCATGTTAAAAATTACAAAACGCTATAGTATCCAGAAATGCACACCCATTCTTCACCATCTATTATGTCAGCTTTAATACACTTCATAGGTATCACTGCCTCCAGTTTCTGCCAAGCACAGGACAGAGCTAACAGCTTATGAGACACACACAGCGTGGTTCAGACACCCTGAACTAGACACCTACCTAATTTTGCTCTTTACTTCAGGAAAAAAATTTTCCTAAGTATCTGTAAAGCACTACAAGAAAGTATAATTTCAAGCCCACCTCTGAGCACTCATTCCTTAAATAATCAGATTTTTCGAGAGATCTTTTACACAGAAAGGAATTCAAACCAAACCAAACCACCCTTTCAAACACACACAAACCACACGTGAAGAACAAATTCAGTTTTTAAAAAGGCTCCTTCCACAAGGGCAGAAGGGCTTTTGAGGCAGACCCACAGCAGTGACATGAATGTTTGTGCTGGCACAAAGAAGTGCAGGAGCAAGGCTGGCACAGCATGTGCTGCACCTCCTGAAAGAGCCAGGCCAGTGTTTCACACTATTTTTCCTTTGGACACAGTACCAGAGGGGTTTGGGTTGTTTGTTTACATTTCCTGGAGATTTTTTTTAGCCATTTTAAGACCAGAGCACCGAGGATTCTCATTTGCACTGCAGACAATTCAGTTTTGGCCTTCAGAGACTGGGACATGCTGGTACTGTACTAGACAATGCATATTTTAACTTCCTAACATATTTTAATTTTCCTGACATTTTAAGAAAGTAGAGTTTGGTCCAGTGGATGGCCACTGGTAGCAATCTTCACCAAAAGTCACTGGGTTCACCACAGGTCAGCACAGACCAGCGCAGTTCTGCCAAAAACTGCATCTTAACAGGTTCGTTCCCCCCATTAAAGCAGAAATTCTTCCCTGACTGTGGAACAGAAGACAACAGAAGAAAACTGCATTAGTTTGGGCTTCATGCCCCACTGAGCCCCACAACGTTCCAAATTTGCTGAATGTGTTTGGATAGATTTAAAGTTCTCTCTTGCTCTGTTCTTTCACCTGCAGGCCATAAGTCACAGAGCATTTGGTGTGCATGCTGGCCGGTGACATGAAACCAACAGAAAAACAGAGTATTTCTTGCAAACAACAAACAAACAGGAAAAAAAATCCAAAACAACAGGATTCCAATTTTTCAAGTTGGGTTTTTTAGCTCTTAGGGCTTCTTAACAGAATTGTAAGCTGGAACTAGCAGCTAATTGAATCCTAAAAGCTGAAAAACCCCCCAGACCTCATGGCTTTGGATTTTCATAATCTGTCCCTTCATGAATTTTTATCTGTCTTTTTCCCCTCACAAACAGGCCTATAAACTGTTCAACAGTCCAGCAAACACTTCAGAAAGAACCCACAGCCTTTCCACAGAAGCACAGCAGCTTTGGGAGGAAAATGACAATTGCCAAAAGGAAGTGAAATTGGAGCCTTCTGTCAGAACCTGCAGACACAGAAGAGCCTGTCATTATTCTGCTGATGGAGCATCAGGTAAGATTACAGGAGGAAATATCACCAGTTGCCCTCTGGGCAGTCTTTTTATATTTGACGGGCCAGAACTTTGTCACAGAATAATTCTTGTTTGCTGCCTCGCCCCTTTAAATTCAATTAAATATTTGGTTGGAATTTTCCTACTTACCCTCTGCAAAAATAAAGTGATGCAAAAAAACCCAGCTGGAGGTGAGTTGTTTGTCCTTCTAAGAACTCCCAGTGTAACTGATAGTCAAGGTACCTGGAAAAGAAATCATTGCTTTTTTTTTTTTTTTTTTTTCTTTTTCCCCTGAATATTCCACTGAGCATTATTTTTTCAGAATTAAGAAGGACACATGGGTGATTTATTTCTTCTCAACAGAGGAGGCAGTGACTCCAGTTTTGTATGCAAGTGTTGTTTGATGGAGAGCAGTTCCTGCACAGGCATCACTGCAGGAACTCCCAGGTGCTTCAGGCTCAGGGCACACTTCAAGGAGAGGTTTTGGGGGTCACACTCTGGTCAATGAGCTGTGGCAGAGGATACACAACAGTGGGTGTTTTAACATCCTATTTATTGCATTGCAATTTGCCTGTTTAGAAGGTGGATGCCCTTTCCCCCAAGTGATCATTTTATCATTTAGTTAGTTTATTATTTGACTCAATTATTCATTGAGTCCAAGCCAGTGCATGGGAAAACCTTGAGTTAATTCACCTGCAGCTCAGGCACTCAAAGCCCGTTTTGTACCCAACAATGCCAAAACCTGATGGTGTGTCAGAAAACAGAAGAGTGTCTTACAAGCCTCTCCTCTCCTTGACCTTTAACTTGTTTAACTCCCTTCCCTGTTCATCACAGAGATTGTCTCTCCTGTGGCAGACCCTGGTGACACACAGCTTCTGTTCCTGGATGTCACCTCAGCTGTGACCCCATGGGTCTGAGGAGTCACACTGATAGCAGATGGCCTCCTATCTACACTCTAACTCTACCCCTGTCCTTCTGGCTTTAGACAGAAGATTCACTGAAGTGGTTTTGTATTGCATTTTTCAAATGTCGAGCTCCACAAACCGAAATTCCTGCAGACAGAGGAAAATTCTTCTGTCTATTCCTGAGAGAAGGTCCTTATTGCATGGAAAGTTATGTATGAAATTCTCTAAATCAGTCAAAATTCCACACGGAAAGCAAATTGCTACATAGAGATAGATCTTATTTCTCAGTGCAAGAAAAGCATTTTACATGGTATCACAGAGGAGAGAGTATTACTCCTGTGCTTTAATTTTTTTTTTTTTTAAGACTACAGATTTACTGGCAAATTAATCTGATGATGATGATGACTATTGTC